CCTACACTTTGCATGCAGCTTGAAGTGCGATCTCGAGCGTGTTGTCAGCTGTTCAGCGTGGATGTTGAAGTGTTTTTTCCTTTCCTTGTTATTTGTTGGCTGTAGGCTGATGGCAAAGACAGTCGTCCCTTCCACCTCACTGTGGGGAAACTAGAAGAAGGTCTGATAAAAGCTGAGCAAGAGGTATTTCATGAATGCATGTTTTCTGAAGCCCTTAATAAATTAAGAAAGTTCATTCCACTTAAAAAATGCTCAGGCAAAGAGAAAAACTTTGTAGGTGCCTTTTTTCTCAATTTTCCACCATTGTCTTATAAAACTCTTGATACAGTTTATTGTTTCTCTTATAGGGGTTGACGATCCGAGCTGTTATACTTATGAACCCCCACAATCCTCTGGCTGATATCTACACCCTGGCGGAGATGATTTCCTTCTTGGAGTTTGCTAAAAGGTATTTCTTTTGCCTTGCACTGTTATCTAAAGTGTAATAACCCCCCCCTGGTCTGCACCTTTAAACACAGTGCCAAGCCACTACATCCAACTGTGAACTCTTTTTATTTTACGGCTGAGAGCTCTGTCCCGTGTGTGGAATATCGTGCACAGTTTTATCACCTCCCTATACCATCAGCATATTGTCAAGTGCAGCGATGTGCCAAGGAGTCTCCTGCACCATCTATTGTTTTCTAAATGATCTTGCCAGAGTTAATTCCCTTCGTAGATCCTTGCACGCACTGAGCTGTTGTAACTGTAAACCTCAGCGCCTTTTACGCTGACGCAGGACATCGAAGGACCTATTTTACATTTATGTCACAGTTTCTTCATTGTAAACAATAAGTAACAATATAAAACCAATCTCTACTGACGCTCTCTTTCCCTCCACCTTCACCTTCCTCAGAAACGAACTCCACGCCATTGTGGACGAAGTGTACATGCTGACGGTCTTTGATGAATCTGCCACCTTCCACAGTGTCCTCAGTGCAGACAGGTACTGTGCAAATCCTAATTTCTGCAATATTACCCCATCAGACCGTTAATCATCACAACTGTGCCTGAGGACTGCCTCTTAGCTGCTAATCTGTGCCCCTTATTCCAGTTTGCCAGACCCACAGAGGACACACGTAATGTGGGGGTTGAGCAAGGTACACACTGTTCTGTGTTCTGTGACTGTGACACTTTTTATATCCCTGCTGACAGTACAGTAAAATCTCTGCTTTTTTCCACTGGGTGTTTGCTCCCACAGCTCCCTCTCATTTACTTCTTCTCATCCTTCGCAGGATTTTGCAATGTCAGGAGTCAGATTAGGAACTCTGCATTCTGAGAACAGAGACCTAGTGGAAGCTCTGGCCCAGCTGGGCTCATTCCACGGTATCTCCGGACCCACGCAGCACCAGGTAGCACAGCTGCTTCAGGACAGAGGTATGGATCCAAGAGTTTTACCTGCACTGTGGTAGTCATGTTTGCATTGAGCTCTGCATAATCTTTTGAAATTATCCAGAGGGGCTGCATGTGAGGATGCAAACATCTGGGTCAGATGCTGCAGACAATCTCCAGAGTTTCTCCTGCCAGCCCCTTACTGAAAACTGAAATAATGTCTGTGCGAGAACACAGCAGGAGATAACTGAAAAAAGCAATAATAATACAATATCACAGCATGAAAAGAGGGGCCGGACACATGGAAGATACCAAAGACAACTTTGGATCCAATGGGATTTTTGGGCTCTTGGTCCGTTGCCAGTGTTGATAAAAAACCAAACAAACACGTGATCTCCGCAGTGGAATTAATGTGTTACCTGAAGGTTCTGGAGATGTTGTTGTGAACGTGACCAGAGAATCTCCTGCTGCGTTCTTCATATATGAAATGCAAACTGGAGACAGCAACCTTAACACCACATCTGGACTCTAGTGTTTATTTATCTGAAAACTGCTTAGTTGAACACAACAGGAACTATTATCCTCACTTTCAGCCTTTTGGTGAAAACAAGTCAAATTTCAGACATACAATTAGTTGTTGTGGCGAGCAGACCATGTTGGCTTGAGTTTAAATCCATAAATGCAAATGACTTCAGAGGGGAACTTTTGAATGTTCTCCCCATCACTTTCCCCGCTCCTGAAAGCCATCATCATTTTTCGTCTTCCTCTGGTATTACGGGAGCACAGCGTGAGGCTCAGCTGCTACATCACACTGCACAAAGATTTGTAACATTAATTTACACTTACTGAAATGTCCCTCCATATTTTTCACATGTTACAGAGTGGATCAATGAGGAATTCTTGCCAGCAAACAGAAGCAGACTGAAAGCTGCTCACAGCTACGTGACGGGAGAGCTGAAGAGTCTGAGCATCCCCTACCTGGACCGGCCTGCTACGCTGTACATCTGGGCTGACCTCAGGAAGGTGACGACAGATTTAGTTTAAGATGTCAGGGCTGTTCATTCAACTCTTAACTTCTGTACCTAAGTGAAATGCTGATAACGCAGTCATTTAATTCTCTTTAACGTCATTTCTTGTGAATGTTGCATGTGTGCAGGCTTGATTTCTGTCTCTCTGTGTTGGCAGTACCTCAGAGAGTCGTCTTTTGAGGAGGAGTTGTCTATGTGGAGGAGTTTTCTCCGACACAAGCTGGTGTTGAGCTGTGGTCAGGCCTTCTCCTGCTCCTTGCCCGGCTGGTTCCGCATCGTCTTTGCAGACCAACACAACCACCTTCAACTCGGTCAGTTTCTAGCGTATACACTAACTTTACACGCCCAAATTTTCAGTGTCTATAAAAGCTAGGGTTGGTAATCCTGGAACAGTCAGCAAGAGCAGGCTCCACTTTAAAAAAAGGAAACTGTTACATCCCACCATTCAAGCTACGCCCCCAAAACACATAAACTGCCCAACAACTGCAAGGAGCCGACTTTTCTGTGACTAACTTCTGACTATTGTCTCTGCTTCAGAGGTTTATGTCTCTCTGGCTTATGACCAATGAGAGCATGGACAAGGTGTGCGCAGGCAGGCAGGTCAGTTAGTGACTGACACGTACACCAGCCAATCGTTGTTTTTATCACAGTGCTGTGAGGGCTTATTTCTTTTTTTAAATATGTATCTTTATCTTTTGATGGCTGTCGGGATGTGAAGAGGATTTCAACAAATAAGATAAAACAAATGACAAATCCTACTTTCAAAATTTAGATCTAGTTTTTCAAGTTTTCATAGTTTCGTAGTGTGTTATGTCATAGTACTGTGTTGTTTTTCCCTCTAATTCAGATTGTCTTCCTTAGACTTCACATTGATTAGATCATATCTATTGTGTCATTTACTCAGTTGGTAAATTGTGTTGTTCCAGCTCTCGTCCTGCTCCGTGTCTTAAACCAGGTATTGATTGGATAATTGTTGTTAAATTGTTGTGTTAATGTTTTGTGTTATTTCAGGCCTGAAGCGATTCAGAGAGGCTTTGAAAGAAATGGAGGAAAAAAGTGCCAGCCCCGATCCACGCTCTGTCAAAGACGCTAGTGAGGAGAGTGAAACCTCAGTGAAAGAGGACAGTGGCGACTCGGACAATGCTGCGACTGTTAATTCAACATCATCTCCCCGGCAGGAGTCAGCCGACCAGCTGAAGGAGAAGGATAGCCCTGTTCCCGACGCAGCCTCGTTGGCCCCCAAGGAGTTTGAGTTGCTGGACTGCCAAGCATCGAATCACGCGGAGGGTCTTGACTCTCTGATTGGTACGCTCAGGCATCAAATCCGCTCCTCTGATTGGCTGGAGAAGAACACTCCAGAGCTGTCTGCCGGAGAGGACCCAGAGATTCTTGATGTATTCAAGGCCCTGCTGCAAAGGGCCAAAAAGTAAGCTTAGGATAAACAGGCACGGATGTAGCTTGCCAGTTTTTGAGAGGCAGCACTTAAGCGTCCAACACGCTCACCGTGTTTATTTGCTAAGCAGCTCGACACAAACACTGACGCAAGGTCAAATCAGATTCCTGTTTTTGAGGAGAGAAGAGCAAATGTTAGCCGTGAGCCAGCTAAAGAAGAAGGAACAAGGAAAGCAGTGCAGGCAAGGCCGGGATGGAAAAACAGGAGGCAGTACTTTTCTATCTGCATCTGGAGGCCTTATTTTTTAGCTGCTAAAGTAGACGGCCTTGAGACTTTTGTAATTCACAGTCAAAAGTTCAATGTTCAAATTATGAGTTAATGCCAAATGTTAAATCAACCAAAAGCAGTAACGTTCTGTTCTCAAACCTTTACAGTCTGTTAATCTGAATTGTAAATGTTTTATTATTTTTATCATATGCACTTTATTTTATCAGAATGTATTGTACTTTCATTAAAGGTAATGATCTACTGGTATAAAGCAATTCATCCATGTCTTTATTTGACCGTAATCTTTCATTTTGAGTTAATCTGAATTCTGAGAGACTCTTTTTATATTTTATATTTTTATATTACAGATATCTAATATCTAACTTCATACAAATGTTCTGAGAACATTTAGTGTGACATTTAAAAAACAAACTTGATCTGTGGGCGCTGTTCCATCACAGCAAAGGAAAGCGCAGGTGGTTGTGACGAAGGGGAGGGAGGTTTAAAATAGCATCAGCCACAACACGGAACCCCACTGAGCGAAATCGAGAGTGGGACTTTTTTTAAATGATTTGTCATATACAATGACCTGTTGACACCCCCCACTCACACACACACACACACACACAGTTTCTGCTTTTGACTTGATCAAATGTCTGAGCATTACATTTCTGTTCAGAGCATTTCTCAACTATAAAAAGGGTTTTACAACTTTTTAATTTCCTCTTTCTTCCATATTATGTTATATCAGCTGATAAAGCCTTCTGCTTCCTGAAACATTGAGTGACCTTACCTTTTTTTAATGCTTTCACTTTCTCTATGGTCACAGGCCACACTTGGGAACTTACAGGGGAATTTAAGCGTCAGTTGGGGGAGTTTCCGTTACAGTGGAGGTGGAGCAACACTGTGGGGGGTTTGATCTGCAAGTGAGGGCAGCACAAGTGATAATGTGTCCGGGTGTGGAAAGTCTTTGTATAGTAGTGTGTGTACAGTTGTACAAACCAGCAGCTGCACTGCTCACCTTGTGCACATACGTCACAGCTTTGTTCGACCGTTGACAAGAAAGGTAAGACTTTCATTATTATTCTGTATTGTTGTAATGTAGCTGTCGTATATGAACAAGACAAGGTTAGTTTCCTGATGCATGAACCTGAAATTCTGGTTACTCAGCTATTCCCTCATGTTTTTCCAGCTTCTCTTGTCTGTCAGCAGTGTGAGAAATATGAAGTTTCTGGACTTGGAGGATTCTATCAGTCGCTTCAGGTTTGCTCAGTCCTGTGTGGGGTTGACGGGTTGCCTGTGCGTGAGCTATGCAGTGTGGACACCGTACTGGCTGAAGGACCGGGGACTCTGGACAGAGTCAAACAACACTGGAAGTGACCCGGCAAACCTTAAACATGGCACTGTCTTCAATGGTGAGGCACAACAAGCTGCGTTCACCTGTTTCCTGTCAACAAATATAACCTTTTGTCTTTCTGAAGCTGTCACTCTGGGTTAGTTTAAAGTTTTGACAATAACATATTGAAGTAAAAGGTTTCTGAAAGAGCAGAATAAACAAGGAGGCATAAATATGTCATGTTGTGTAAGACAAGGCACAGGTTGCATTAGATTTCTGCCTTAGGGCAACTTATTTTACACCTGAAGAGAGGATTGTCAGGACAGATTGTGAAAGAACTGTTCAGTGAACAAGCATGTGCCTGTTCCTGCAGTTAAGTGCATTCTTTGTATCTGCTGAACGTCTCACACTCGGCTGTAGGCAGATGTGCTGAAATCAGCTGAAACCTGGTCTTTAATTCTCAACTAAATCTTGTTTCTTGGCATCGGAAATCAGGTCCCCCTTTCTATTCCACTGATATTTTTATGCAGACACTCTTTAGGAATGGATATAATGTAGTCTAAGCCCTGTGTCCTCACAGTGTGTGTACATGCACAGGGATAGTAGTCTGCTAATCCACGTCCTGTAAAGGATGAAGACAGCTGATGTACTTTAGTTTAGTTTTTAAGATATTATAGAACTCTGGAATCAGTGGATAAATAATGGACATTGTGAATTTAATTAAATTAAAGATATAACAAATAAACAACAGTTGAAACAATGGGCATATTGTGAAAAATGTTTTTTAGATTACCAGAATAAGGTTTTTTCATATAATGAGAAACAAATGTTAATATTACCAGAATAAACTCACAATTTCATGGGGAAGAAGTTATTAATACAAGAGTAGTGTCCCAATTTAATTACCGATCTCATTGTATGTTGATAAACTATGAAACTCATTTGAATATCATGTAGGTGTAACCAGTTCCTCCATGTCTGTGTGGGTATTTCCAACAGAATTGAGTGATCATAGAAGATTCTAAGATTAAATTGATTTTACTTCAGGTGTAGACAGGCTTATGAAGTGTGGTGTGTAGGATTTAGGTAAAAGGGATCTATTGGTATAAATTGAATATAAAATAATCCTGGTGATGTTTTAACTAAAAGTGTTTTATTTGAATTGTACAAATTTTTGTTTTCTTTAACCTAGAATGAGCCATTTCTATTTAAATACTTAATAATTACATCAGGAGCAGGTCCTCTCTACCGAGGCCATGTTTTCTGTTGTGTACAGAAGCCCACACTGGACAAACTAAACACCGATTGAGTTTTTATGACGACTGAAGGCTACCACAGGTTCTCCTTCATGTTGGGAAGGAGAGGGTGAGGTGAAGAGTATTCAGCTTCAACATAAAACCTCACCACTAAATTAATTCTGCAAACAGAACCTTTAAAGCAGAACTTTAATGTGGCTCTCCCAGTTTGCAGTGGATTTGAGTTTATGTACTGTGAATTAATGTGTGTGTTATTTTGCATCCTCCAGCCCTGGAAGCAGAGCAAGTATTCGGTGTCCTCTCCTTCCTCATGGCCATGAGCACCGGTGCCCTGTGTCTGGTGTTTGCCCTCTGCTGGACGTCCCGGACGGTGCGGTCCTACTCCAACACTCGCTCTCTGCTCATGGCCGGGCAGGCGCTCTACCCCACCACCCTGCTGCTGCTCACCATGGCCTCCACAGGTATAATAGCACTGCTCAGAATAAAGTGAGACATTTGTTCCCCTGAGCTACACAACATGTTTTTATGTTTCACCTTTTTAAATAATATATAAATTCCAAGTAAAGTAGTAAAAATAGCTCCAGTTAACCTCCAAATAGCTTTTTGAATTGTGTAGTTCATGTCAAACACACACCTACAGAAATTATTTTCCCAAGTACTACTCATTTGCATACCCTGCAAGGCAGCAGTTTTTAAAGAGACTTTTTACTTTCCTTGGAATTGCAGTTCATTATCATATAAACTCGTTTTCAAGGCTGCAGGCATGTAATAATTGACCTTAATGACTTTTTATTCCCTTACAATGATACTTGATTTAACTCGTTTTTCTCCTCCATCAGGTTTCTTCTTCCTCTTCAGCTGGTCTCTTTTCACTTATCAGCACCGGGAAGAAATCCGTCAGGACGTCTCCGGCCTTGGCTCTTCCTACTGGCTCGGGGCTTTAGGCTGGGTCCTGCTGGTGGTCGTGGAGACGATCGTCTTTATCGTGGAACAAGCAACAGTACCAGACATTGTACCAGACTTGGAGAAGGCCGTGGAGTCGTGGCGGATTTCCTGTCAACTGAGGGCTGCAAAACGCTCTTATAGTGATGTGTAACAGCCTGGAAACAGTATGAGAGACATTATCTGAAAAGGGTGCATGACCACCATGAATGCCATGCAGATGTAAGGATGTGACAGAGAAAATGATTGTGAATGTGTGAGCTACACTAAGACAACACAACTGAATCCCTATTAACTGTGTCTCGAGAAATTGAGATTCCCTGCATCCTGAAAGTCAGTGGGACTGAATCCTCCAGCGTCCTGCAGGGTTTGACTGCTCTGATAAATTCTCAATTTTTTGTTTTCAAGATGGACTTTTTATAAATACACTACAGACCAATAATAATGGCGGTGAGATCAAATGCAATATGAGTGCTGCTCTGTCAAGGTGATGTGTAGGAATTGTATTTGCAAAGATTTGAAATTCAGAAACGCTGGTCGTCCAGCTTTTCCCCTGGGCCAGGATCACTTCCAGGTTTTCACTTTGAACTTGTTCCTTTACCTGAAAGATGAAGTAGTTGCTGTATCGTGCTCGATGAATGTTAAAATAGCACCATCTTGTGATGACCACGTGACACTTCTGACACTGACACTCAACCATGGATGAATTACCTTCTTTGTTTTTATATATGTTAAGAGACATTGTGAAACTGAAAATTCACATTGTGCTCCTCTGTTGTTTTCTTGATGATGAGTCATAAATAGCACTAATATTTGTGTTAATGTGGGGCGGTTGTGGCTCAGGAGCTGGAGTGGGTCGTCCGCTAACCAGAACATCGAACGTTCAATGTCAGTCTCACCAATTGTGCACGCAGAAGTTTCTTCGGGCAAGAGACCGAACCCCAAATTGCCCCTGACGACTGTGCTGACAGTGTGCGAGTGATGATAGAGGAAGTGCTGCACACAGATGCACTGTATAAATATGTTTGTGACCATTTTTAACCTGTTTATAATCCTATATTTTTTTATAGAATAAAATTAGCAGTCATATTGAGACCAGAATGTACTGTCCTCTGTCTGACTCTGCCGTTCAGAGTCTGAACATCCTTCCACCGCTACAGTAAATCAAAGTTTTACGTCCTTGACTCTGTGACAGTGTGTTTTTAAGGCTGAAAATGGTTCACTGCTCGGACAGTTGTCCTACATCTGCCCACCAGGAGTTCCACGTGTCACCTGTCTACTTTTTGAAACGCTTACCTCATGCATTTGCAGTGTGCAGTTGCCAGCTCTGCAGAGTGTTTGGACCACCAGACAACAGATTGCCTCCAAAGTCGTTATTTACTTTTTCTCTCACACGCTCCCAGGAGGAAAGGAAGCACTCTGACGCTGGACTGCTTATGTTTATGTTCTCAACCTGCCAAAGTGGGGGAGAATTAAGTGGCTCTGGCTCTGTTAATTGGGCGTTAATCAGGTGTTGCTCTAATTAAAAGGCAGTTCCGCCCTGTTGGGCCCTGGTAATGAGTTTGTTATTAAATCCACAGAGGATTTTTGTCTCTTTTTCAATTTACCAAGAGGGTAGCGCTTAATTGCTGTGTAAATGAGCAGAATGTCCTTGAAGGTCGTCTTGCATCAGCACGTGATCCATGAACACAAATGTTCTGGAGAACATCCCCATCCGAACTTCAAATCCACTCCCTCCATGGTGTGTGGACCTCTCGTGCACGGCTGTGACTCTCAGCCAAGTTATTTTGGTCCATTTCTCATTTTTAAACAACTTCTCTGAGAACCTCATTTGCTAAATTAAGAGAGCAGGTGACCCACTAACCTTTGTAAAAAATAACACTTTTAAAATTGATTTCCCATCTAAAGTGGCCTTTATTTCCCCTGGCATCCACTGTCTAGGCCTCTGGAAAGCAAACAGTCTTTTATGGCTGACCGCGTATCGTAAACAAACCCTCCACTTTTTTTTCCTCCACCACCCAAAACCACAAACGCTGCTCTTTCACCTTCCTGAGCGAAGCAGACCAGGAGGTTGAGAATGCCTTCAGAGGACGACAACCCAAATCAATGTGGCGATAGAGAGAAAACGATTTTGAGATGTTTAGGCACAAAGGGTGAAAAAAAATGACAGATGAATGGTGGAAGATGCTACGCTGAGATAGACAGGTGGCCTGATAGACACAGAGAGATGGTGGGTGCTGATTGTTGAAGGGCATTTGCTACAGAGACATCAATCAGAAGATGGTACCGAGATACCAAACAGGCCGCTGGCGTTTCCTGCCTGCGGCTGGCGGCATGTGTACAACACAGCCTGGGCTAAACCAGCGCTCTTCATATCAATTAGAGACCAATTATACAGCCATGTCCTACTAATTATGCTGTGCAGCCACTTTGCCGCCCCTCCCTATGAAATGTGTGTGTCTCTGCACTCTTTTGTGTCTGCGGTTGTGTTCATTAAGATAAATAAGAAAACGAGCTGCCTGCCAAGGTGAAGCATCTTTAATCTGATGTTCAGAGGTGTACGTTAGTATTTAAAAGACTGAAAGAATGACAAAATCTGCTGTTTCCTCCTTTTCCTTTTGGTGGTGCTGGTGTAACATTTATCGCTTTACCTCTTGCAGTGAAACCCAAGGAAATGCTTTCATTTAGATAATGAAATCACAGTTAATAAATAAATAAGTAGATCTCTGCATGTATGTGCATGTGTTTGACTTTTATTTGCAAGGCAGACAAAGTGAGATAAATATTGTCGGGCATATTTTAGACCGTTTTGAGCCAGAATGTATTAGTATTTGTAACTTTCCTGTTGGGTTCAAAGTGAACATACTGAGGAAATATGCAGAAAGACAAGACAGCAGGGAAGCAACAGACATAAAGATTGGGGCGGGGGGGGATGTGTGCAGTGTCAGAATTTTGGGTGAACTTTGCACCTCACTCTTTTTCCTCCATCTACGGATGCTCTGATGTGGTCGACCGCTCGCAGCATCGGGCTCACCGCTGCGTTGTCATCAGTATAAGTGGACACTCTCAAGTAGGAAATTTAATGTCTGCAGTCGTACAAACAGAAAAAGCAGAAGAGAGAGGGAGAAAAGGGGGAGATGTGCAGGGGGGATATGGGGAGAGTACACCTTGTGTCCTTCAGTCGCTTTTCTTGCAGTGACCCAGTTCATCTTGCCTGTGGAATCTGCAATGAGACGTTGCTCTTTATGACTGACATCCCACCCAGACCACCCGGCTGATTACATTTTGTTGAGCAGAAGTGAGTGCGAAGGAGACAGTTGGAGACGAGAGAGACGTTGCTTGCATCAGTTTAAGTTTCTTGATTAGCCTGCACTTACATTCATCCACTGGATTCGAGAGTGCAGGTGTTTTTGCTTGGCAGACCTCTCTCTGCTGTCTCTCCTGCCGACGCTGGTTCTGTGTCTTTCATTGCAGGATTATGAAAACCCCGCTGTGTGCAGCCATATCTGCCCGCCGCTTCCCTTCTTCATAAGTGGTGTCGTCTCGGACATCTCAGTACAGACAATGAAGCCGTAGTCCCATTCTCGTCACCCTATTCATTCCCGGCCAAATGTAGCCGCTCCCTTCTCTTATCTCTGCGTGACCAAGGAAATTAAATTACAAATATAATCACTTGGCGCCAGCTTCTTTAACAGTGTGCCGCTGCTCTGAATACAGAGTGCGCTTGCTTTTGGAGAGCACGTTGTGTGAAGTTACTTATTGGCATATTTATGATAATGGGTTTTAGTCTACCAGTGAAGTCAGAAGCGAATTTTCACAATGACAGTGAATGGCACGAGGAAGTGAAGCGAGAAGAAGCTGGGGAAAGAAAAGAGCACATGTGAGGACATGGTTGCAGCCGCCCTGGAAAAAGAATAATCTCAAAAGCAATGAGATCCGTGAAGATGAGGGGAACAAGAGGCTCTCATTCACTCAGGTTGGATCCAAAATCACTCCTTCTAGACAACTTAGAAATCAATGTAAAAGTGCTACACTAAGAGCAGAATTGTTGGCACTACATAGTGACCTTGCATGGAGCAAAAATGTTTTTAAAGTGTGCACAGTGGCTCTTGGGAAGGCACTCTGTAACTGGCTCGATTGGTCCACCACTTTGGTCCAGGTAAAAATATCTACTGTTAGAGAGTGACAGTTTGTGCAGACATTCGCGCTCCAACAAATCAAACTGGTGTTAAATATCTCGACATATTTACTTGATGGTTTGAAACAAATTCTTTTTAGGACATTTTGATACAGACATGATCATATCATTTGTTATAACTTGGTTCAGACTGAGACCTTTGATATCTTTGATGATCCCCTGTCTTCATCTGGGACCGGACAGATTCAGGTCATGAGGTCAGAATTTAAAATCAACCACTTTTGACTATTTGTTTATGACCAAATACCTGAAAAAAGAATCACAATTCTATCAGCATAGATGTACTTTGTGCTAATTAGCAGGTGCTAGCATGCTAAAAGGCTAAACTAAGAGGGTGAAAATAATCATGGCAAACATGTTAGCATGCTGATGTCATCCATAGACTGTTTATAAAGATGGATGACATGTCTCCACTTCCTCCTGTTGAACAAAAATGCATCTAAAGTATCCCAGATAGGAGTGCTGCCATCTTGAGCTTTTGTTGTCAATTCAATTCAATTCAATTTTATTTGTATAGTGCCAAATCATAATATACATTATCTCAAGGCACTTTACATAGAAGGTCAGGACCTTAAAATCAAAATATAAAGAAACCCAACAGTTCCCACAGTGAGCAAACACTTTGGCGACTGTGGAGAGGAAACACTCCATCATTAACAGGGAGAAACCTCTAGCAGAACCAGGCTCAATGTGGGCGGTCATCTGCCTCGACCGGTTGGGGTGAGCAAAGAAACGGGGGAAGGAGATGAGAGATGACATGTCATTTGCAGCCAATCTGCACAGCTTGACCAATCATAGGTCAGTCTCAGTTGCCAATCAAAATGTTTGTGCAAATTGTTATAGCACCAAATAACTATAACCAAACGTACTGGAACAACCAATGCTTGAATGTCAGTGTATCAGAAACCATCTTTGACTTTTATGATGATCCCATCCACTAACATGGAGGAGGCAGGTTTACAACTTATACGAAGCCACCAGAAAGGGATTAAGATGATTTGGCTTCACTTTTGGTGTGCTATTGTGCCGTGCATTTTTATGAACAGTCTGTAGCTGTGTCCCACTTCAGGGGCCACCCCTGGTAGATGACCTGAAGGCCGAAATGAGACGGTCTCGTCTTCGTAGGATTTCCATGATTTGTGTCACCAGCTTGTTCCAAAATTACCGCTGTCGCCAAGCAACAAGTGACAAGTTTAAATGCTCCTTTTTAACATGTACTGTCAGCTGTTTCATTGAGTTAAAGCCTGACGTCCAATACAAGTAATCTAGTTGTAGTCTTGTTGCTTGCTGCTGCCATTATCTCTGTGAAAAACAGTTCATGACCCACATACAGTTAATCCTGGGATAGTTGACCTGAGAGGGAACTACTTATAGGGTCCTCCATTTCTCAGGAATGGAAGGATGCATTTGTTGGCTGCAAAGATGAGACTACCGGACAAAGCTGTCAACATTTAGCACCGCTGCCTACGTATGTCCTCACATAGCCGCTAGCTTGACTGCGCCTCCCTGATCTTGCTGCTAAATATACAATATAATATTTCATTTTAATAGATGTGTCACGGCCTCAAGCAGTCAAGTCAGTGATGGCGGTGAACTCATCAGTGTCCAAAGTCTCCCTGTACTGCCCCGGAGGAAAGAGTGAACCAAGGAAGTGGTTTCCACAGCATCATCCTCCACTCACCCACCAACACCAACAATTGTGTGGACCGCTGTCTCTTCTTCTTGAAATCTATTCCACACACGTTAGACCATCTGAGTGAATAAACAGTCCCCTCCTCTCTCCCTCTCTCCATCTGCGTCTCTCACTGTCTCTCATGCAGGTCTTCACAATAAAAAAAAGAAAAAGTGATGGGATGAAAACCATGTGTATTTTAGAATGATGTGTTTCCTGCGGGAGCCGATGGGAAACTTGGTAAAGGGAGAGTGAGAGGAGTTATGAATTGAAGAATAGCATTTTTATCATTGTTATTATGAGGAGGCCATCGC